ATTAAACAGAGGTGGAGGCCTCCTTTTTCAGCTGTCCTCCTCCTGCAGCGCGGTTACTGCCAGTATCACTCCACCCCCCTGGTAACAATAAGTGTTAATTAGGTGTCAACGATAGCCATGTGATGTGAGTATCAGTCACATCACAAAAGCCTGAATTTTGCCTGAAACTCTCAGACTGAAGAAGTCACTTGGAGGAGAGACGAAACCTTTCATTAAAGAAGAACCCGTCCAGAGGACCTATGCAGTTTTTTTTTCTTATAGATTTGAGTAGATTTTTTCAAAGTTTTCTTAGGGGGTATGCATTTGAACCCTCCTAGGATCATGTCACACCCCTGGCGCTAGTTTATATGGTAAATGGAAAATGGTAAATGGACTGTACTTGTATAGCGCCTTTCTATCCAACCAGGATACTCAAAGCTCTTCACACTACAATCTGTGTCCTCATTTACCCATTCACACAGCACTCTACCAGATCTCTACAAAGCTAACATTATGTCCCTCACTGCCATCAGCAAATGTTGGCAGGTATGATATTATCTTTGGAGCTAACACCATGTGCCACTGTATGTGTGACAAAATATGCTTTTAAACTTATAAAAACTATACAGTACTTTTACGCCTTGGGAGCCAAGTGGTCTTTGTAGTTGAAATAAATGTTTATCAAATAATGTCTAATGTGACAACTAGTCGCTTTAAGAATTGATATTTGTCAACTGTAATTACTTCAGCTGAGACTGAACTATTTACCAGTATTGCGTGAGTGTCTGCAGGTTGTTGTTTTTGTTGACGGGATAGTGAACCCCCAGGTGAACCAGCTTCTCCAGGGCCTCGTAGATGAAGATGATGCAGATCAGCGCGGCAAATGCCTCTTCGGTGAAGCGTGTGATGTAGCAGACAAGCGAGCTGGCATCTGTGGCCACCAGCAGCAGACAGAAGAAGGCTGTCCACAAGCCGATACAGGTCCTCAGGGAGAGGTAGGAGAGACCATATTCCCTGACGCACACACAGAACACGAGCTTAGTGGGAACAAATTACATTGTTTTATCATTGCACAGAAGCCACAGACACCATGATATTTTACCAGAATAAACGCAACAATACTAAAGTCAATAAAAACACCTACTTGCAAAACTTAAAAAGGATCTTTTCAAAGACGAGGACAGGCCCAGTGCTTCCCAGGATGGTGAGTGGTTGACCAGCGAACAGAGAGTAGGCTATTCCTGTCATTGATGCCCCAAACAGGGACTCAATGGCACTCTGAAACAAAAAATAAACACAGATTTCAGAGTCATCCAGTCGCATGTAAATCTTCTGGAGTCTGGGACTACTTCATCTGATTAAATTTACACATAAATAAGATGGATTATTAAACAGGGTTAGTGTTTTAGTGAGCATAATACAACTTCCTTTATAAATCCTACGACAGCCTAACGGACAATACAACTTCTTAAAAGGATCGTATGACATCTTTAACGGATCATACAACTCCCTTTAAGAATGGTACAACAGCCTAACAGACCGTACAACTTCTTTAACGAATCGTACAACTTCTTTAACAAATCGTACAACATCTTTAATGAATCGTACAACTTCTTTAATGAATCGTACAACTTCTTTAACGAATCGTACAACTTCTTTAATGAATCGTACAACTTCTTTAATGAATCGTACAACTTCTTTAATGAGTCGTACAACTTCTTTAATGAATCGTACAACTTTTTTAACGGATCGTACAACTTCTTTAATGAATCGTACAATTTCTTTAATGGATCGTACAACTTCTTTAATGAATCGTACAATTTCTTTAATGAATCGTACAACTTCTTTAATGAATCGTACAATTTCTTTAATGAATCGTACAACTTCTTTAATGAATCGTACCACTTCTTTAATGAGTCATACAACTTCTTCAATGAATCGTACAACTTCTTTAACAAATCGTACAACTTCTTTAACGGATCGTACAACTTCTTTAATGAATTGTACAACTTCTTTAACGAATCGTACAACTTCTTTAACGAATCGTACAACTTCTTTAACGAATCGTACAAC